TAACACGGAAACTATAAGAGTTAGAAAAAAAGTAACTTAGATGTCATGATCTCGTTTTTCGAGAAACTGCTAATGCCGAAAACCTCATAGCGCTATCGTCTTTTATTTTTCCCTTAGAGGCCAAAATTGAAAATATCGTAAAACCAGCAAGTGCAATTATCTTCGTTATTATTCTAGGTGGAGTATTATAACTAAGACATTATATGGACACTTTTTTACAGAGAATTTGATGACGTAGTCAAAAGAACTTTTTCCGGTTTTAGATTTTGAGATATCATGACAATTTTCATTTTTTTAAATGGAAACAACCACTGATTATTCGCTTATTAAATTCGTTATTTTAATTCGTTAGAATAAAGCTAAAAATAAACTTTTTTTATAAAATTTCCATCTAGCGTCGTCGACGAAATTAAATTTACAGTTTCCTGTAAGTTACGGGGCGGTAGGTAAAATCTAAAAAGTTAACAATTAAATAAGAAAATAACTTCTGGAATTTAAAAACAAATAATTTTTTTATATGTAACATTCTAACATGTCAAACTTTTCAAAATTTTCGCAATTCATCTTAAAAACAGGATTTTTAAAGTGACACTAAAAAATTTTTGAATACAAACAAATGTTGCTATAGTTCGTTTTTTTTTCTATAATACTTGTCAATGTAAATTTTTTAGGGTTTCGGTTGGTATTATCTAGGACCCTTATAAAATTTACGTTGTTTTCCTGATTTTTAGTAACATTTTCAGTAACTAAATAGTTGAGGTTAAAATACTAATAAATTTGTAGATAAATACGATTTTAACGAAGTACATATTTATTGTAAAAACGTGCTAAAAAGTAATTAAATAGAACAAAACACCTTTTCTAGGTAAGTAAATGGCAAATAAACACCTCACAACATTTTTTATGCACCTTTTCTTTTGGAATAACGAAAGCTCAAACGTCAGTGTGACGTATCTATTTCAAAACATGATAAAACAAAATTCCTTCTTAATTTTGCCAACTTTACAACAATTTGACAGGTATTATAGAAAAAAAATGAATTATAGTTCTTTTTTTTTCTATAATACTTGTCAATGTAAATTTTTTAGGGTTTCTGTTGGTATTATCTAGGACCCTTATAAAATTTACGTTGTTTTCCTGATTTTTAGTAACATTTTCAGTAACTAAATAGTTGAGGTTAAAATACTAATAAATTTGTAGATAAATACGATTTTAACGAAGTACATATTTGTTGTAAAAACGTGCTACAAAGTAATTAAATAGAACAAAATAACTTTTCTAGGTAAATAAATTTCAAATAAACACCCCACACCATTTTTTATGCACCTTTTCTTTTTGAATAACGAAAGCTCAAACGTCAGTGTGACATATTTATTTCAAAACATGATAAAACAAAACACCCTGTTAATTTTGCCAACATTACAACAATTTGGCAGGTATTATAGAAAAAAAAATGAACTATATATGTTTATTTGAATTCAAAAAAAATAAAGTCCCTAGATTTACAAAGTACCGCGGTTTGCCGCCATTTTGGCTCGAAAGTCAAGCGCGAAATTTAAAACTACAAACCAAAACATTACGCCAAATTTCCTTTCTTTTTTTATCGTGGTACTCTGAAGAGTCGAAAGTCCTTCTTACTGCCATTTTTGCAACTCCAAAGGCAACAAGACGGAAATATTTTTGTAAATAAGTGGTGAGATGCAGTGACAAGCTGTCAAACCGCCATTTTGGCTCGAAAACAGGCTTCATGAACCGCGGTACTTTGTAAATCTAGGCACTTTAAAAAAAACATATGAGCGCCATCTATCAATAATTTATTAAGTCATTTAATAATAATATTAAATATTAATAAAAAATGTGAAATAACGCAATCTATTCCAACTTATGTGTAAAACGTATATAAATTAAATAGTTCAACAAATATATTTGTTTCAAATATCAGAAATGTTTTTTTAATTTTTGGTTATAGTACCGTAATTTACAGGAAACTGTAAATTTAATTTCTTCGACAACACTAAAAGAAAAGTTTATTTTTATCTTTATTCTAAAACAATAAGAAATAGACCTGTCAAACCCTATATTTTTGTAATCAGAAAAAAATAACGAATTTAATAAGCGAATAATCAGTGGTTGTTTCCATTTAAAAAAACGAAAATTGTGATATCTCAAAATCTAAAACCGAAAAAATTGTTTTGACTACGTCATCAAATTCTCTGTAAAAAAGTGTCCATATAATGTCTTAGTTATAATACTCCACCTATAATAATAACCAAGATAATTGCACTTGCTGGTTTTACGATATTTTCAATTTTGGCCTCTAGCGGAAAAACAAAAGACGATAGCGCTATGAGGTTTTCGGCATTAGCAGTTTCTCGAAAAACGAGATCATGACATGTAAGCTACTTTTCTTCTAACTCTTATAGTTTTCGAGTTAGCCTATTCGGACACCGAATTTGAACCAACCTGTACAACCTACGCTACCAAAATTTCAAAACTCTATGAATAGTGAAACTTTAAAAAGTTTTAACGAACCAGTTATGTGAGACACCTGTATATATTATAGTATAAGTATATATTACTTATTGTTGGGGTACATAAAATAAATATACCATATAAATGAAACACAACCAGAAGGAAGGACACCTTTACGCGTTAAGGACAGGAATAACTGAAAGGAAAAATTAGCAGCGCCGGGACCCGGGCCCGGAGGACGTTTATATTAATTCCACTTATTGTTTAAATATACCATGTTTTCGGAGTTACATTAGCTTAAACATCCAACCCAACCTTAGTTTCGCTGTTACTTTCAAATATTCGTTTCAAAATCCTAAATTTTGTTTTAAGCACTGTTTATAGATGAAATAAATCCTAGCTAACCATTAAGAAGATATTATAATGGTATTAAACATTTTCAACTTCATTTAGTTGTAATTAGATTTTTGGCCAGATATTCATAACTTCCTAACACAGTGCACTCGGGGAATTTTCCTGCGTGTTAGACAGTCAATGCGTCGAAGAATTGCTGCGTGCATTGAAGCTAACGGCGGACATTTCCAACATTTAATTTAACTGTGTATGATTTATAATTGTTTTTTTTTGAATTATACAATTATAAAGTTAACGTTTGCTTTTGTTACTTTTTCTAATGTTTTAGTAAAATAAAATTTTTATTTAAAAAAATCATGAGCTTCAGTACCTTTTTTGTGTAGAAAATATTGACGGTTCAAAACGCGTGTGAAGTTGGCCATAGATTTTAAACTGAAAAAAATGCGTGATCGGGGTATTCAATCGATTTAATTTCAACGGCATCGTATTCATGGTCGCCTCTTGTTTCAGATTCGAAAAGAAAATTTTCCTAACCATTTCTTATTTTCCGGGAAAATCGATTTTCTTCAAACTTTCACAAAATTCGACTCGTTTGGGGTTTTTAATCGATCTAATTTCAACGGCATCGTATTCCTGATGGCCTCTTGCTTCAGGTTCGAAAAGAAAATTTTCCTAACCATTTCTTATTTTCCGGGAAAATCGATTTTCTTCAAAGTTTCGCAAAATTCGACTCGTTTGGGGTTTTTAATCGATCTAATTTCAACGGCATCGTATTCCTGGTGGCTTCTTGCTTCAGATTCGAAAAGAAAATTTTCCTAACCATTTCTTATTTTCCGGGAAAATCGATCTTCTTCAAACTTTTGCAAAATTCGGCTCGTTCGGGGTTTTTAATCGATCTAATTTCAACGGCATCGTATTCCTGGTGGCCTCTTGCTTCAGATTCGAAAAGAAATTTTCTTTTATGGTTAGGAAAATTTTCTTTTCGAATCTAAAACAAGAGGTCACCAGGAATACGATGCCGTTGAAATTAGATCGATTGAATACCCCGATCACGCATTTTTTTTCAGTTTAAGATCTATGGCTGAAATCTATGGCCAACTTCACACGCGACGGTTCAAATGGGTGTCTCAAAACCGTACTATTTCCAGTGGCGTTGAAGTTGGGGAGAAAAACAACCACTATCCCTTCAAAATCTTCACCAATTATTATGAGTAGAAAATACTTACAAACTGTTTTCTGTACGATAAACGGTTCCGGAGATATTCGCAAAAAACGAATTTTTTTTATTCAATTTCAACACCCTGTATCTCGAAAATGGTGCATTTTATAGGGCAAGTTGATAGTAACATTTTTTCAAATTTTTGGACAAGGTATCACATCCTGAAGTCCTGCGCATATATTATGAAACAGCCTGTATACGCTAAAAATTATATTAAATAAAAGGAAAGAAAGTTAGACCGTTCCTTATATTTAATTATTAAAATATATCTAAATATTTTTTAAACGGCTTTTAAAGTTAATGTATTGTCGCCATCGTTTTTACGAACTTTCGTCGCGTTGCAATACCAATACTGTGATATTGGTTGCATACTTTCGATGACGACGTCGGGTACAATAATTATTTAACACTGTACAGTGTAGAAAGTGGTGAGTTAAATAACTTTTGTTTAAAACATTTTTTTCTATCTCAAAGGATTTAGTAACTATCGACGGGCGGGATACCAATAACTCATCTTGTATATTATACTACTATGTATAAAATCAAGTAATATACCAAGCCATACATTAATAGAAAAATCTGTGTTGGTATCTGCATTCCCATAATTAACATATAGCTATTTCCAAAATAGAATATTAAGTATGGAACAATTTTCCTTGTATAAAATGTTGTCATTTCCCAATATTATCAAGATATCTGCCATGTCAGCTAAAATCACTGACACTGTATATTCTATGTAATTTCCTTATAATAAAAGTACTTATTAACTATACTACTTATTGCATGTTAAAAACGTATTTTTCTTACAAACGCATATTAATTGAGCAGTTGGTCATAAGTACATTAGTACCATATCTCTGTATGATGATTCATTATCTTAAAACGAATTTTTTAGAAATGTTTTTTTTAGAATTGACAACATGACTATAATCCAAATAACCCAAATTTATGACATATTAAGAGTGAAAATTCAAGTTGTGTAAATTGTCAGTGTAAAAATGGTAGAAGTAGAAAAAGAGCTAGGAGATGGTGAAACAATCAGGTAAATATCAATAGTCTCTTACCCATTCCAGCAGCAATAGCAGGGATATCAATATCATAATGATATAGAACATAAGACATTAAAATAAAATCAGCATAGCTCCGGTGACTAGGAACATACATAATCCGAATATTTCCCATTCGAGTCTTTAGCTAAAACAACAATATAATGCCTATTAGTTTAAACAAAGAAAATGTTATCAGATAAAAACAGATAAAATTAAAATTACTTTGTCAACAGCATGTTTGTTCACATAAATTCCTTGACATATTCTTGTGGTGATTTGAGCCAAAAAGAAAGCTAAAATTCTCAAAGTCAACACACTTCTACAATATCCAATTTCGTTTAAAATGTCTCGAATTTTATTGATAATATGTTCCTTTGAAAAATCATTTTGAGACTCCTAAAACCAAAAAAAAAAATCAAGTTTATTTTTTTAATTCTCAAAAATAAATCAATACTTTTTTAAGGTTACCCTGTCAATTAAAGTGACGATTTTGTGACTTCGTAATACTTCTAATTTTATTTTTTCCGGAGTATATATTTTATTTTCTGCACATGGCAATACAGGATTTAAATGTCTCAAGGCCCATACCCAATTACTTATTTCTGTACGCCTCGGTATCAAAATGTCTTCGAAATCGTCGAGCATCCTACCCATGTTCATTCAATTCAATCAAAACTATCGCGTGCACTCAATCGTTTGTTTAAAATTGTTCATATGCCGCCACAATTTTAAAACTTGTTTGAAAACCGCTTCAACATAGGCTTTTATAAACAAAATTGGATCCCCGCTCCTAAAATGCGTGACTAATTTGTGCAGGAAGTATTGAGCGTTTGAAAACCTTAAGGTGAATTCACAGCGCAAAACTTTATTCCATTTAAATACTTTTTCAAAATGACGTAAATCAAATAGGAATATTTTTTTAATTTAGTATTGATTATTTACAATTTATTTATATTTAGTATTGCGTATGTAGGGAAAAAAACGGTGTTCGATAAGAAAAACAAGAAAAATACATAGTCGTTATGTTAAATGTTACTTAGGATTACATAAATAAAAAAACTATTTACATAAATTTACATTTATTTTGAAGATACACGATAAACAAACTTTGCTTATTTAAAATTAATTGCAAAAGTCGATAGAAATTAATCAAAAAAGTAATTAAATTGTTTTTAACGTTGCTAATTCTTAATATTGATATTAAGTGTGTATATTTATTTAAGTATAACGAAAAGTTTCTCAATACAAAATAAATAAAATAAGATTTAAAATGTTACGATACTTTAAAAAATTATTTTGTACTGGAAATGATATATGTATGTAACAATTATTATAATATGTACAACTGTCAAATTGGACACTTTTAAAAGGAAACTCCTATTTCTATAAGAGATACAGGAAAAATGATATCAGTGTCTGAGGCTCGATTTTTATAAGAAACTTAATTTCGAAAACCGCATATCGATATCTATTACGGTTTCCGAGATACAGGGTGTTTTTCGAAAAAGTGCATTTTCGAAAAGTCGTCATAACTTTTTTTTATTGATAAATCTTCCTTTCTGTGAAAACATTTCCAAAGCAATTTTTTAGGTAGAATTCGATGGAATAAGTTAGCTTTCCCTCAAAGCAATATTTTAGCAGTTATTGACATAAAAATGATTTTTTTAAATGGAACACCTATATATTTTTGCTAATTCGACGAGAGCATAAAATTTCCTTCCTAAAAATGTAGCACGCTTGATATTTCGTTCAAGTCTTCTTTAAAATATACAACTTTAAAACTTACAGTAAACCCTCTATACATATAGCGAACACCGATATATCGAAATTGTCGTTATTGCGAACCAAAATTATGCCACAAATATCTTCAACACAGTTTAACGACACTTTTTTCATTATAATGAACTACGAACTATTATTTCATCCGTAGAATATGATTTTAATGCGAACTATTATCGTAATTGCGAACACGAAAATTTTCCTTGTCTACTCAGTTTAGATTCAAAAACTGTTATGGGGGCACTAAAAGCAAAGAAAGAATAACAGCAAAATGCTGACGGAAGTGAAAAATTAGAACTATGGATAGTAGAGAAACCAAAAAACCAAAATGTTTAAATAAATTAGATCGTTCCCATTTGCCATGCCATTATACCGCTCCGAAAAATGCCTGAGTAGTCTGAGTAGTCTGTAACATTCCGAGAATGGCTTCTTAGTTTTCACCGCAACATGGCAGCTCTAAACAGAAAAGTGTTGTTAACAATGGACAATTGTTCAGCACATAACGTTATGGAAATTGATTTGCGCAATGTTAACGTCGTTTATTTTGGGGCTAACACAACAAGTGCACTGCAACCTCTTGATCAAGGCATAATTGCGGCTATGAAGAAACGCTGTCGTGTACGACTTGTTAGAGCAGCAATTTTGGCAATAGAATCAAACCAAGAAAAGACAAAATGGAATATTTTACATGCGATAAGAGCGTTGTCAGATTCGTGGTGTAGCTCGTCAGTAGCTTTTTACTTATAAGCTTTACTCATTGATAGGCTGAATTTGCTGATGTAGAATGGGAAAATTATCAGTTTAACTGATACAGGTTAGTTTTAATGGTTATGTCAGCGTTGATGGTGCGATAACGACTACAGAAGCAGTAGACATAGACTTAGCAATAGTGAATGTAGACCAAGAAACCGAAGACAAAGAAGAAGGCGAAGAACACGATGAAGAAGAAGTTAACATAATAGCACCTTCAAGAGCTGAAGTTTTAGCCGCTCTCTATACAATCCAAAGGTAACACAAATATTATCTGTTATCCAACGATGTAATTATTAACATCACAATTTCAAGATTTGCTGATTCAGTAGGGAATGTTTTGTGAAAATTTCATGGATTCTTTGAATAAAATTGATGAGGAATCCCTAAGACGAACAATGTCCATTCTGATGCAAATAATTACACAGTCGAGGCTAATATGTTTACGTAAACCTACCTACCCCTAGAGCCTACCCATTATCATTCATTATAACGAATTAGTTCGTTATATCGCAAATACGAACATCTCATTATAACGAACGGTTTGCTTTCCTCCCTGTGCGTTCGCTATATCGAGGGTTTACTGTATATGTGCAGATTTTGAAAAAGTAGGCTTTGGAAATAAAAGAAAAACGAGATTATATTTATAAGTAGTATCAACATAGTTACTTATAATGAGTTAAAACATAAACTCATAAACAAAAAACTGATTAAATTAGTATAACTTATCTTATTATAAAACAAGGGAACAAAAGGGAGCTATAGAACAGGGGTTTAGTTCTATAGAAAATGTTCAAAATGTTCCCAAAATGGTTTGTGTTATACACAGTCGGCATCTGTTTTAGCCCTTTTTGCCGAGTTGATAACCTCAATGGGAATAAGTGTTGCAAAAGCGTTTACAACTGCGGCTTCTAATTGCTGTCGGGAATTTATTTGCTGTTTATAGATAACATCTTTTAATCTTCCTTAAAGGAAAAAATGCATAGGTGAAATATTGGTGACAATAGCAGCATTGTGAGCAGGTGCTCTAGAGGTAAATCGTCAACAACAGGTTCGATTTGTTGCCTAAATATGTTCAAATATTTACTCACATACGCTTCATCTGTCCAAATACAATTTAAAGAAAAATTGCGTGCTTCGTCACATTGTCCCAAGAGCCATTGGCAAAAATTCATGCGCCGTTCAAGATCTCGTGATTTGAGGTAGTGGACTTTGCTAGTTCTGTATGGCTTAAATTTGAATTTTTTCAAAATCCGCCTAGATTTGGTTCTTGAAATTCCTGTGGTTACACTCAATTGCGTTGATATCTGTGGATTATTTTCCATTGCCCCTAAAACTACTACTTCTTCTAATTCCCCGTCTTCATATCATATCAGACTTTTCGAAAATGCACTTTTTTGAAAAATACCTGTATCTCTGAAACCGTAAGAGATATCGATATGCCATTTTCGCCATTAAGTTTCTTATAAAAGTCGAGCCTCAGACACCGATATCATTTTTCCTCTATCTCTTATAGAAAGAGGAGTTTGTCTTTAAAAGTGTCCAATTTGGCCCATCCTGTACAGAGTGGGCAAATTTGGGTGTTATAGGCTATCTCAGAAATTGTACGAAAAAAGTAGGTGCCATGTCCCGGTCTCTTTTTTCGAGACTAATCCAATCCCGCAAAGACCAAACCTCTATCTTCTTTTGTTTTTAAGTTATAGCCAAAAAGTTAAATTTCGTTTATTTTTCAAATTAGAGAAATGGGGTTGATACGTTCTTAAGACACTTTTTAAGTAGAATATACTGCCGTTGAAAAATGTTTAACATACTTGATGATTTTTGAGATACAACACAAAGTTGTATTATTTTAAATACAAACTGTACTTGATTATGATGATACTGAAAAGAGCATATTTTTAGCTTTCCAATCGCCTGTATGGTGTATTTGCGAAAAATAAGCGTTAATTTTCAATTCCAAAATAGTAAGCGCTAATGTTCAAAATTTTTATTATAGTAGGCTGGTTCAGACAGTAAATACTACCTAGTTGCTATATGGTTTTGCACGAATATAACAGAATAAAGTTGGTTTTGTACCATTATGCAGGATAAAGTTGGTTTTGTACCAACGAATAAAAACTTTGAATAGTTAATTTAAATATCTCAGCGTCTTATCCCTGACTTTGTTCACTAATAAGAAATGGTTAGTAGGTAAAGTTTGTTTATTAAAAATACAAGTTATACCCTTGATGGCCAAAACTGGGTCAATAATGACCCGAAAACAATAATTTTTTACATAGCATACGAACTCAAAGTTTGATGTTGTTGTCCTTTCATATATTCTCTAGTATTATTATTTTCATGCGATATGCAATTAGTTAATTTAGCAACTAGCCGAATAAGGTATTCAACCGTCATATTTACCCCGTAACAATGAGCAGAAATAGATTTATAGACATTTTACATTCCATATGATTCGACAACCTAGAGACCAGGCCTGAGAGAAAAATAATTGATAAGCTTGCATTTCTGCGAGACGTTACTGATATTTTTTCAAAAAATCGCAGAGAAGCTTATGAATGTTCTGAGTACGGAACAATTGAGAAGCAATTAGTTTCCTTCATGGGACATTGTCCATTTAACAGGTGGACTGCCATGTGTACTGTGTCTGGTACACATACATTGGGTTGGGTAAATACTTTGGTTTATGCAAGCCACTGTATTTTGTTTTAAGTATTGTCTTTGAGGCCATGAGGTATATTTACATACAACGCTTTTATGGTGCTAGAAATATGTTCTTAGGTGCTTTTTATTAATGAATATGAGATCATCTTTCACCAAATTTCCAAAAATTCAATAGCTCCTATCGGTGACAGTCTTTAAATTTAAGCAAGTACCTATTCCTAAAAAGTGTCAAGATTTTTAAATTGGGCACTAAAAATTTCTACACCCTGCAATTTAAAGTATATACCGGGAAGGAAGCAATGCAAGGGATATCCGTGTCTAACAAAGTTGTTGGAATTAATGCAAACATATTTAAATTTTGGCAGAGCACTCTATCTTGATCATTGGTATAACAGCGTACAATTGACAGAAAGCTTGCTAGAAAAAGGTACATACCTTGTAATATATTTTTTAATAATTTCTAGTATTTGTTATGCCAGTTGCTGAACTCAGCACAATAGTCCGTGAGGCCACAGAATTCATTTCACCACATAAAAATTGTTGTATGTGTATCTTTCTAGGAGCATCATATATTTGATGTGTTCGGTTGAGTAGCTACAATGGTGCTCATTAATTCGAAAAAGAAATTGAACGGGTACCACATAGTGTACACAAAATAATTTTGGCAACGC